CTGAAAATAAAAATTAAAGTTTTAGTTGGCAGGCATTTTCATACAAAAAAAAGTTTGAGATTTTGATATTTTGCAAAAAGAAGCTGCAGAAAAAGAGAAGATTAACTCAACTGTGTCAACTAAATGATGCCAATGCAAATATTTAATTTTAAATATCGGAGATAATATTGACGAGCTGCTTCCTACAACTTCTTGCATTTTATATCTTTAATTCAGTTTTATACATTATGGTAATTACCACATAAACTAATGTAATTGAAAAAAGTGTGAAAATGGCAGCCACATCACAAAATTCGTTTTTTCAAAATATCAGTTTTGTAGCTTTAATAGTTTTTATAATCAAACCACTTGTGAAGTTGTATGGAAGTTACCTCAAACAGTAGAGAAATCCCAACGGCTTTTAAAAGCAGCCCTAACAATGTATTTTCTCTTTCGAATTTTCAAAACTCTACGCGGAATAATTTCTGAGATATGCACAAATAACTTTTGAAGATTAATGGCAGCAATCACAAGTGCTCCTGATATCTCAACAGCATTTAATTAATATAGCTGCCATTTTACCATATTTGTTTTTGCAAAATTTGTAGGTTTTAAGATATAGCCTAATCATTTTTGAAGTTGTGTGGCAGACTCGAAGGGAAGCAATTTCAACGGCTTTTGTCAAACATAATAGCCCTAATAATATATTCGCTTATGGCAAATATCAATACCATGGATTCTATAATTTCTGAGATTTAGGCAAGTAAATTTCGAAGTTCTATGGCAGCTACCCAAACCTCGATCATATCTTATTTAAATAAGGTTCTGGCATTTACTATAAAAAATCATTTCTGAAAATTTGTTGAACTTTTTCAATCAGTTTTTGAGTTGTCGGTGGGACGAATGGACGCACGGACGGACGGACAGGCGGACACACATCACTAAATCGACTCAGAATTCGACACTGATCAAAAACATGTACTTGAGTCTTTATCTCAGTCCATTATTTCGCAGCGTAACAAACGGAAAAGTAAATTTACTGTACCTTTAAAATTTTCAGAGATGACATTTTGTTGTCCGCATACGAAACAGACAGGGATGATAAGATAATGAATTTGATGTCAATATCTCTATTAGTTTTTAAAATATTTAAAAAATCTATTTGACTTGTATGGTAGCTCCCCAAATAAGTTGCATGAATAAATTTAATTACAATAGGGTCAATTGGAGCAAAAGCAAAAACTTGTGAAGGTTTGGTGTCGATTGCGTTATTCGTTTTTGAGTTATCGTACGATTGGAATAAACGTATACGTATGATTATACGTATATTAAAGGAGAATTTTACGCTAAGAGCAAGAATATATATACATGTCCATTCCGGAGATTTTATTTGTACACGACATGGTACTTTTATTCTACGAGAATATTACAATATTGTTTGTCGCTATTGATATTATATTACGCCAATGTTATCTCCATGCCAAGCCACACCAAGCTATGTAAGATAAAGCGTTATTAGTATTAAAAAATATTTTTTTTTTACTTTTGATTTCTTAATACATACAAACAAACAAAATTTTTTGATTTTGCAATTTATTTTTTTCCCTTTTGTATTTAAATTGAGGAAATACATAGCAATGTATAATATAGGTTCTCCTACGTTTAAAATTACTGTGGAGCATTACAAGTAAAGCTTTCTAATTTCTAAAAATGTGTGACAACAGTTTTAATTTTTCTATTATTTCTATTTAATTTTCAAAAAATCAATCAATATCGTAATAAAATTTGACATAAAGTTGAATATAATTTGCATCAAGAATTAATTTAAAAATAAAAAAAAATCTGATGTGGTCAGCACATAACTGACCGCATTGTGCATTGTCTAGTTAAGTGAAAGTATTACAGAATATTATAAAAATGCCTGTTAATTACCTCTTTCCAATTTTTAGGACATTAATAAGCTTATAGTTAACATACCTAGAAAAATGTAAATTTGGCTCTTAGTAGAGTTTCGCTTTGTGCCACCCGAATTCCCTGAAATGCTCGCCAGTTAGTTTCGGTAACAACCAGAACTCAAACATCAAATTTCAAGAAATTCTATCAATTAGTTCCGTAGATATAGTGAGAAATGTAAAATCGGCCCGCAGATCAGTTTTCGAGCCCTGATCTTTCCAAAAAATTTTCATTGTTTTAATACGAAGAACTTAAATATTAAATTTCAATGAAATCAGTCGATTATTTCTCTTTATATACGCAAAAATGTATATTTGGCCCGTAGTAAACGTCCAGTTGCTGACACCTGATTTCTTCCAAAAGTTAGGAGGTTTTGCGGCCGGTCGAGCGAAGCTTATATATGAAATTTTAAGCAAATCGGTTGAATAGTTTCTTTAAAATGTTCAAAAATGTAAAACAGGCCCGCTAAAAAGTGCAGTTCCCGAGGCCTGATATATCCCAAAAGTTGATCCATCCGTGCCATGGTGGAAATAAACTTACATATAAAATTTCATAAAAATCGGTTCAGTAGAACTTGAGATACACGCGTGCACACACAGACCGACAGACCGACAGACCGATAGACCGACAGACCGACAGGTTGCTAAAAATAGTTTATTTACACTTCCCTACTATGGAGAAGTGCATTCCCACAGAAAACTCGATATGCAAAATTTGTTGCCATCACATAACCTACCTATTGTATACACAATACGGTCGGTAATTATCAATTGCAATTACTTCTAATGAAGTCTTATTAAATATTAATTATAATTAACTGGAATTACTTAATATAGCAAATGAAATTTATATTTTGAAATTAGGGTTCTTAATATTTTATTAAACAAAAATTAGAAAACTTTCGAAAACAGTTACGTTATTTCAATATTTTTTTTTTGTAAGTTTTAAAATTCAATAAACTTAACAATAGTCAACTCCCTTACTTACTTTTAGTAAATAATAATATTTTGTGAAACAGCTTTTGATTAGCTCAAATAGGAATAAATAAACTAGCACGACTTTAAGAATTCTCCAATGCTTAGTTAAGTGCAGCTCATTTTAGTTGAATCTGATTTCAGTTAAATCTTTAATAATAAACTGAAGTATAAAGAAGCTGCACATTCTTGAAGGAACTTTAAAAAAACGAAGTTGTGATATATTACCGCTAAGTTTATATATTCATGAAAAATGAGCTCTGACACCAAAATATTTCGGCAAAACCACTAATAACAGACATTAATCAAGTGAATAAAACTTTATTAAATCACTTAAAAAACTCTATTTCTATCAAAATATCGTATACCGTACCTACTTAAACTATAAGGAGGAAGGATATTTCACTATGTGAAAATATTTCCTAATATAACTAAAATAACATATATACCTAAAAGGAATTATATGGACTTTTAATATAAAAAAATACACATATGCAATAGTTTTCATGAATTATGAAGCGTATTGATTTATTTAATATTAAAAGTCCACATAAAAAATTTTTAGATATATACATGTGATTATACAGGAAATAATGTATATATGTGTTATATAAGAAATGCATTGTAGGAGACATGTTATAAATAATTGGCAATCTTGTTAAAATCAAATTTGCAAAAATGCACAAGAATAAACTAAATTGTTCCAGAAAAAAAAATTTACACAATTTTTTTTCTCGTAGTGCAGAATTTATTGAAGTTTTAACAAATTAAACAGAATCTGGCAAGCTTTTTATAAATCAATTTTTTAATTATATTTTTAATTACTAGGGCTTGTATATTTTAAGTTTTTTATAGCAAAAAAACTTTAGGAATGCTAGCACTAGTAATGTACAAAAAGGTTGCATTTTAACTTTTTCTAAATCAGTAACAACAAACTGCAAAATGAGAAAAGCGAACTTAAACGTGAGAATAATAAATTTCATTGCGAGAGTATAGCTAAAGTAAAAATTAAAAGAGTAATTCTTACGATTTTTACAGCACAATTGCAGTTTTACATACTCCTTTGAAAAAAAAATTAAAAATAAAATTCCAGATAAATACTATTACAAAATTTTTTTACTATATACAAAAATTAAGAAAATAGAGAAAGAACATAAAAGAACGCAATCACTAACAATTTTAAATATGACTGGAGATTAGCGACAACTTGGCTGTACGATTGGGTTTAAATTTTAAGTAAATTTCGGACAAACCAATGGGTTGTAATTTAACACTTTTAAAACAATTAATAATATTAATCGTTTTAAAATACATTTAAATAAAAAATCTCGTGTTGTAATTATCTATTCTAGTATTAAAATTTACTATTCTCATATTGAAGTTTAATATTTCACATTGAAAATAATGGTTTTGATATTTTTTTCTATTTGTTATTCACGTAAATATGATATGTATATTTACAAAATAAAATGTTTATACTAACTAAAAATTATATTGTCACAGGAAATTATACCAAAGTATGTATATACACATAGCACAAATAAAGAATATTTTTAAAAATGCTGTTTTTTATATCTGAACTGGAAACCTTTAATATTTTATAAGAATTGTATTTTCAAAAACAAAAAAATGCAAAAACCAAATGATATGAACTAAACAAGTGGGGTAAGCTTCCTACGCACAAAACGCAATTATATATTTCAGTTAATGACAATAATTCACCAATAATTTACAGCTTGCAGAGGAATTATAACTTGAAGTGAAAACTTAAAGACTCCATAAAGAATTTCAAAAGTTTTTTCAAGGAGAACTGGCACTCTAATTTTGCTGCTATTTTTGAATTTAAAAATTTTGCTACTACGTAGCCAAAACATATTATCTTCATTTAATATTCCTAATTGAGGTATATTAAAGTTAAAGTAATATCTAATATATACTCTCTAAAGTATGTCCAGCAAATCTTTTGAAAAAAATTATTAAGGTTAGCATATTGCATTTCAGATTGCAGGTATACATAAAATTTTATTGACAGAAAATTAAATACAATTCGTTTTAGTTATAGATATGTAGGTTCAGGCAGATGATCGCCATTTT